AGGTACACATTGACACCCTCTTTTACACTTGAAGTTGTCACTTCAAGAATTATGAAATCAAGACATTCTCTTCAAGAATCCTATTCTCTTCAAGTTTTATTTCAGTGGTTGATCGGATCCTATTCTATTCAAGTTTTAGGATTAACTTAATATTGGGATAAATCTCCCCATTGAGTCTCATCCTAAGAGTGAATTCTCCTAGATTCTTACTTGAATTCCTTTTGAATAATCTTAATTTTGACTTTCATCCTCTATCCTGCATCAAAACCTCTACGAAAAGTTGGCCCTATATTACATCAGCTCATTAAAGGTCCTTGAACATATTGGCCTAGTGAGTTACTCATATCACTTTGGTTATTACTATGAAAATGATCAAATCTTAAATATTTATAAACCAAATTTTAAAAAATTGTTAAAATTATTTTTTCTTCAATTCAAGTCATCCACACAGAGGATGGTTGATCTCAATATAAATTTCTTTTTCGTTCCATGTAATAAAAAAATGAAATAAAAAATATTTTTCTCTGCATTTTTATCTCCTTCAATGTTTGATGATGGTGTCACAAAGTTTTAAGCCTAGAATTTTCCTACTTTTATATCTTCCCACATTTAGAATTGATTGATGACTCTAGATCTTTAAACAATTTCAGCAAAAAAGGTAGAAAAAAATTAAAATAAAATAAAAATAAAAGGATGAAAACTAAATCATAAATCAAGAAAAATAGGGAAACAGAGAAATATAATCAGTGACAAGGAGAACTCACTAGAAGTGAACTAGGAAATACAACTGAGTCGAATTCATACAAAAATTAATAAATCTTTTAAAATAAATGGATTCATATGATTGTATAAAAGTTAAATTTGACAAGGAAACATAAAATCTCAAGAACTATTGAAATTAAAATTAAAATGCATATCCATTGGTAGAGTCACTCAATTATTGGTAAAATAGGAAAATGAGTTCAGTTCATATGTTTTTTAAAATAAGTAATACATCGAACGAAATCAATTCAAGTCAACTTTAATCAAATATAATCCATATCACAGAAGAACAATTATAAAAATTAAATCAATGTACAAACTTATCCTTGTCTATCACCTAGGAAGAAAGTATCATCACAAATAGAAATAACCTTTTCTATCACCTAGGACTTAACCTTATTGCTTGACTATCACTCAAATGATAGTTTAAGTGAAAATAATAATAAAATGCAATGAAAATAGAAATAAAATTTAGAAACTCCTATGATCACTTTTCATGTTTGATTGTCATTTGGAGAGAGATTGGCCAGAAAGTGCTTCGTAGTTCCTCAATTCACCTACAATGTCCATCTCAAAACCTTGCTCCATTTTTCTTGAAGCTTTCTTCAGATCATGATCCCCTAAAATCTCAACACTATCCACCAAAAAAAGGAAATTTCGTATGTTCCTTTCACCATCCAAAATTTAGTATGCTGATTGATGTATACATGTATGACATGGGTTAAAATGTTGACCCATATCTTTCTTCATTTACTTATATTGACATAACTCATAAATCTCTTGATATATCTTTTTACTAATGTGGCCATGAATACCTATACTTTTACCATTACTTTTATGATTTCTGAATTACTAAATAAATCATTTCATAAGTTTTTAAAAAACCCAAGAAAAAGAAACTTTCAAAATTTTAACTTCACTATCAATTTTTTTATCAATTCCAATATTTCTCAAGGATATAAACATTAGATTATCATGTTAGTATATATATTAAAAATCATAAATATATTCATCATTCGTAGATGTTAGTATAAATGTTAGATAGTTGTACTTTATGTATTATATGAAAATAAAGTATTATCACTTATCAATTGAATCTTCCACCCATTTCAAGTATCCACTAGGTGCTCCATGTATCACAACTTAGAAAGGTAGATGGTTCAACCTCCCTAGGCTCCATTGGCCTACTAAGGCTGAACAAAGATTGTAGTTGGACTGTGCAACCATCTAAAATCCTAATTGTCCAATATGGGTCGCCTGAGCCTAAAGTGCTTATCAAATGATAGGAGCTACCCAACTTAATTCATAGGGGGATCATGTGGGCATCCACCCAAACCATATGCCAAAAATTCCTTAAATTAAACCTAGAAGACAAGGTTTAATTTATAGGGGAGACTTTTGTTGAGACGCTCACCTCAACCTAGAAGACTTTCATTCCCTCGTCCATTCAACCATCTCTTTCTCACTGCCATCTTCAGGGCTCCATCACATCTTTGAGGAATTTGAGAAGAACTCCCGTGTGGACTCTAGCTAGGTGGGATTGAGAAATTTGAGCATTGATGACCCCCTTTAATCTCTTCCATGGCTGAATGTCTTCGTTTACTAAAAAACTGCGGGTGGGGTTGTCTTGCTGGGCTCACTGTTGTTACTTCGCCCCTATTCAGGAGAGAATGAGGAAAAAGGATGAGAAGATGTAGAGCTTCATCCTTGCGAAGACACTAAAATACCTGTATCTCTTGTTCTCTCTGCCACGGCGATCCCCTTGGATGAGTGGATCTACAATACAGAAGCCCATCCCTTAAGAAAAATACTGAGAGGCAATGGAGTAGTCTCTGATTGAGTTTTTTGAGGAAAGGGGGCCTAAAATGTTGCCCCCTCTTGATTCCTTCTCTCACCATTATTGCCTCTCAAAATAAATCTGGTTTTGCTTCCTAGCCGAGTGTTAAATCTGTTCTTTATTTCCTCAATACTAGCTCACTCTCACCATCTCTCGCCCTTGTTCTCTGTCTTCTCCTCAATTCTATGAGGCCTGCGAAGAGTTAAAGAGATCTATTTGACCACAGCTTTCTCAGTTTCCTCTAAATGAATAGACACCTACTTGCCTTCTTCACCTTATTGATGACAGCTTACTAAGAGATTACGATGAAGATGAAAATGAGAACGTAATATAAGTCAAATAAATGATGCGGAAATCACAAACACTATCAGAAATAGAAGAAGGAGAAATCCGAATCTAGCTCAACATAATCTACTATTAGAGAAGTGGGGTTAGGACTAGGTAGTTTAGGCAAACCGCTAGACGTAGGGTATTCATAATTAACAGTGTAGATTGTTTTATCACCGGGATGAATCATGCAATGTATGAAAATAATTGCTATCCTATAAGATCACTCATGACGATAATGACAAGAAAAATATACTAAAAGAGCAGGGAATACCAAGTGTAAGAAACGAGAGAACCAATTATGAAAGGAAGTCACCAAAGGGACCATGGTCAGAGATGGTCGATCATTGACTGTTGACTGAGTGGTGCCGTTGACTGTTGACCAAGCGAACGACCACGAAATGGTCGTACATTTGGCAGCGAACGACCACGAAATGGTCGCGACGACCTCGGCATTCCATGGAGGTGAGGAGGATGACGAAGCAGATGGGAGTGCAAGAAGTACCGATGACGACGTTGGAGCCGACGACGACGAGGGCGAAGATTCCGTCTCCTTCAGAGTGGAGCAGTTCCCGCTGTCGAGGCCCCCCCGTCGCCGCCGAAGGGCTTCCTCTCGCTACTGAGAAGAAACAAACCAGGGCAGTCGTTACCCCGCCCGGACCAGCATGAATCCTTCAGAGAGTAGCCCCCGCTGATCTCCTCGCGAGGAGAAGGAGAAGAAAAAAAAAAACCAGACGTCGTTATTGTGCGATGAAGCGCTTTTCAGCTGGAGAAATATAACCAAACGTACGTATTTTGCTCCGTTTAGAGTCCACGGTCAGATTTAGCTGAAAATGGAAAAATAGGTAAAACCCATTATATGTGGTCAAGTCAAACGTTCCACCCGATGCTCGTCAAACCAAGCCAATTGCCCGGAAGCTAGTCTCCTCCCCGGAAACGGCCCCCGATGACGAGAGTAACTAGGCTGCGGGGCCCAAAGGATGTCAAATGGGATCGCTAGTCATGTATCACTTCCTCGTGGACGCGAGCTCAAGTAGTATGACCAAGCTGCCCAACGAGCACAGATTTCAATCCTCAGGGAGTCCCAAGGGATGGAAGAAGACCCGGTCAAACCCGGTCGTCCAACGACTACAGACTTTTGAACACTGAGTAAAGGGTTTTCGACAGTTCCATGTTCATCTTCTCACAAGCTTTCTCTCTCTTCACAGACTGTTGGGTGGTTTCGGAACAAACGTGTGAACAGTGGAAGGAGCGGCGACCAAGTTCTCAAAGATGGCAGTAAGCACGGGCATAATTCACTCTCATGTGGTTTAGAATTCTACAGTTTTTGCCCTTCGCTGGGTGTTAGATCGTTTTATCCTGCTCATTGGCTAAAAATGGCTAGATCATTTCATGTAATATAGTCCGGCCACAGGGGATCGCTAGGGTTTCAGTTGAAGGGTATCGATTATAATAGACTCCTGTGTAAATATCGATAGGAACAAACAAAAAGATGACGGAACGCAAGCAAGAAAGACCAGGCAAAAAGACGAGCTGGGGAGGAAACTAGTGTGCAACCTCGCATTGTTCCTCTACCGGAGATATTTTATGGTCGGAAGCAAGAATATGGGGTATATAATCAACGGCCGTCGCAGTCAGATATGACCCTATTGTTCGTTGGATGCATATGCATGACTGTTCTGATTAGAAGATTACTGTGCCCTCTAAAGATCGGAGATCTGAACATCTGAGTCCGAGGTACTATTTCCAGCATGCGGAAATCCTCGACGATCCTCCCCTACTGCTTAGTAGTCTCTCTCTTCGTCCTCGTATCGATTTTTCATTCTGGTCAATACGCCACTCAGTCTCAGCTAGGTTTCGTCACTATGCGGAAGATTATTGGGCCGGCATAATCGGCCGACGGCGGGTGGAACATGAGACAGGAAGCTGTAACTAAGTGCGTACATCTACTGCAGCTAGTATTATGCATTCACTGGTGATAGAAATCAGTAAACTTGGTTACTATTAATTGAAGAAACTGAGGGCTTTTAAACTTCATCCCGGTGGAATGATCTTGATATAAACCAAGAACATTTCAGCGGCCTTCAACATTCGTGAGAGTAATCACGTTCACAGAGGACGATGAACCACAGCTGTCGGCGAACCACTGTGCTGCTGCCACTAGGGTGGTGGGTTTAAAGAACCCGGGCTTCTCTGGCTGTGGCAGCACAGAGGTCCTGTTGGCCAGCATGAGCACCACCTCTTGTATTGTCGGCCTGTCGTCTGGAGACTCCTGCACACACAGCAGCCCAACCTGTATGCACCTCAGGACATCGGAGAACTGACTTGGAAGCCCTAGCATGTCATCCAGGAGCCGATCACTTTGGTTTTCTGTGCAGAGTTTCCAAGCCTGATATGAAAGTTTCCCATAAGAGTAAGCGTTGTGTACTGTTGGGGATTTTGTAACCAACGATGACTGGACTGCACTTACATTGGCTAGAAGCTTCATGTGGAAGTTCTTCTGAGAGACCCACTGGTTCTTCCTTCCACTTATGATCTCCAACACCAGAACTCCAAAGCTGAAGATGTCAGACTTCTCCGAGAATTTCCCACTCATTATGTACTCTGGGGACATGTATCCGCTGCACCGTTCGTGAAACGAAAATAATATTGATACTGTTTGACAAGAGATCAAAGCAGAATGGATAACTAGCCCAAGAGAGAGGGCGTACATAGTGCCGACTATTTTGACAGTGTTGTCCTCCATTTGGTTCCTTTCAAAGATCCTGGCAGTGCCAAAGTCCGAGATCTTGGGATTCATAGCCTCGTCTAGGAGTATGTTGGCTGCCTTGAGATCCCTGTGGATGACTCTGAGCCGTGAATCCTGGTGTAGGTAGAGAAGCCCACGCGCTATCCCCAAGATTATGTCCAAGCGCTTTTCCCAGTCCAATAACCGACGCTTCTGGACATCACCTGCATGTAAATAAAGGTTCTATCTTGGGTCGACATGAATGAAGAAGCAATTCCTTTTAGCGCTACTGGTATAACCCTATAAGTTAATCACGACCATCAATTCAGCGCAGGGGTGGGTGGACAACGTCGTTAGCACCATTCTTTGCAAGCATTGGCACAATCTTGAAAATTCTAATCCTATGATTGCAATCAAAACAAAAAGTCAAGGACCCTACCGAATATGAAGGCATCCAAGCTACTGTTGGGCATGTACTCGTAGACCAACAGTCTTTCTCCTCCTCCAATGCAGCATCCAAGAAGCCGGACAAGGTTTCTGTGCTGGAGTTTGGCAATCAGCCTAACCTCGGTCTTGAACTCTTCAATCCCTTCTCCAAATTTCAAAGAGAGCCGCTTTACAGCCACTTCCTTCCCATCCGCAAACTGTCCCTGAAGATTTGGACAGAAGGGTTGAGAATTTAGTACTTCGTCTCCATCAAGTCAAACACGTTTTACTTGGAGACGTAATAAAAAGAAAAGCTCACCTTGTAGACACAACCAAACCCTCCTTTCCCGATCTTATGACTATCTGCGAATTTGTTTGTGGCCAATGCTATAGTACCCAAATCAAACAGCGGCAGATCGTTGTTCTCATCAGTAAGACCGTTGTTGACGGTTTGATGCCTTGAACCTGACATAGATCCATTGAAGCAAAGATTAAATAGCAATTGCATGAGCGCGAATGCTTTTCTAGACGGTAAAAGTGATTTCCAGTGCTATTACTATTTCCACATCTAAAAGTGTTTTCCGGTTCATTTGAGTGATAAAGTTGTAAATGAGGAAAATCAAATATAAATCCTTTGTGAAATTGTCTTTTCAGCTTACCGTCTTCGATTATGGCTTCTGCGTTCTGATTTCTCTTCCTCCAGCTGCAATATCCCCAAAGTACCAAAAAGAGCAACACCAAAGCTAAACCCACCGTGATGGCGATGATTGTCGCGTGTTTCTTCTTGGATGGTTTCCCAAGAATCTCTCCTGCATGAGAAATAATTTGATGCTAAGTAAACATCTGAATGCGGATTTACAGCCACTCTGTAAGCTGCTGTGGTGTTCCACGGCCTTGTAAATGAAGGGTACCCATGGGATCACTAGTTAATTATGTTCCACAGCCATTCTGTAGGCTGCTGGACAGAAAACGTGAAGTAGATGAGCTGAGAACTCCCCTCTAAGAAGACAAGTCTGAAGGAAGATTCAACGCGAATGAAGCTCGGCTTTCCTGCTTGGCAGAAAGCCGAGCTTATTCGATTATCTCAAAAGAGAATGGAGGAAGGTGCATAGTTGTCAACTGGGGGTGGTCGTTGCCATACCTTGATTTTGCTATCTACCATTCCTAAACCCAGAAGCAATGGCAAAAGTATTAAACAAATTTTGGCTATCACGCAAGTTTCTCAACAATTTCGAATTAGATATTGAAGAAATCTCGGAGAACATTATCAATTTGGGTGGATGCTCACGGGGAAATCAGCTTTGCCGGCGGAAAGGACTTTATCCCCCCCTCCCTCCGCCATCGTTTACGGGAATGGCACCGCGAGTTGGACCTCCGCCACAGGGGAAGGGCTTTGGGCGCTTCCTGCCGCTAAGGGACGTAGTCGACCGGGGGGGGTCACTTGCGAGCAATGGGTTTGGGAGGCCTTCCCTCCCAAACCATTCGCCCTGGATTAAAGCCCAGCTGTGGCCGCAAGGGCCAGTCCCTATTCCCCACCCCCCCCCCCCCCAAAACCCCCCTCAAAAAAAGTAAAAAACATTAATGAACAGTTCATCCGGCGAGCCATATTGACTTCTGAGAAACCTTTAGTCAAAATGGATCTCCTTTCCTGGAAATAATTCAGTACGACTAATCAACTCCGGAAAATAAAAGTTCCTCAGTGGAATCGAAAACAGTTTCCTATAGTGAATTCCTTTCAAACCGCAAATTCCCACCGAGATATTAGAACAAGAGAGGGTAGTCTCCAGTTTTATGCTTTCCCCTCTAGCAGAAACCCAAATCTTGTTCTCCAAAGTATCAAATAGCACTGGAGCGAATACCCGTAGGTAAAACGGGTCGGGGAGCTGCTCGCAGGAAAGGCATAAGCCATTTCCGTCCCCGAAGATCAGCGTACCCAGTTACGACTTGTGATTCTGGTTTTGGAGGGAGGGACCCCAAAAATATGAACATCTGAACATCCTTGAGGCGCTGGTTCAGACCAGTCAGACGTGATTTTACTCGAGTAAACGCTCAGGTGAGTGAGATGGTAGAACGTACCGAGATCAGCCTTCGCAAGTCGTATGTAAATGTTTTGCCCATCTTCAACTTGCCCAAAAGTTCTCATATCAATCAGATCCCCAATCCAGGTTATGCAACCACTTTCTCCTCCGCTGATGTTCGCGCTCGCGTATGCCACGCAGAAGCAATTCTTCCGACATGTTTCCCTACATTCATCGAGATTCATTTCCACGTGGACGGTGGAGTTCACCGTGTCCGGCAATTTCATCCCCGTCTCCAGCCGAAACCCGTCGCCGTCGGTGCAGTTCAGACTCGTATTCCTCACGCAGCCTCCACTCCAGTTCTGAAAGTCCCACTGCTCTTGGTTCCTGGCCCGGAATCCCGGGAGGCACTTGCATGCGAGAGAAGCATCGCTGTTGCAGACCCCGTTGTGGCCGCAGTAGGCGTATTCCCCGCACCGGTCTCTGTCGGACCTCCACAGCTCCAGCCAGTCCAACTTCTCATCATCCCACAGAGAGCGCGTCAACTTTCCGGAATTATCAATCATCAGTCTCGTGAGGGTCGCCGGCTGGGTTACCATGAACTGGTAGTACGCCTCATCCTGATTCTGGACGACGGTGGACCTGAACCTCGGGTAGGTCTTCATCGACGGCGTGCCGCTGAACTGGATCCCATTCCAGGGGCCACTGCGGAAAATCACCGTCGTGTTATCCAGCACGAAGGGCTGACCCATCCCGCGAGGATCCAGCTTGTAGGTGAATCGCCCCGGCGAGGGATCGGTCGCGTTCCTCCACGCCGTCAGGTTCCGATCACGCCTGGTCCTGTAGTCCGGCCCGATCTTCATCCCCGCAAGCATGGTATCCGTTGGGTGGTCGAAGCTTTGCCACAGAAAGTCTCCGCCCGTAGGACTGCTCCCTTCTCTGAGCACGAAATTGCCGGAGTCCAGCAGCTGTGCGGTGGCGCCGACCGAGCTGGTTTGTCCCGTAGACCAGAAGATTGTGTTGGGAGGGTTCCCGGTGAGGACGAGATTGCCGCTGGTGTCGATGCGCAGGATACCGGAGGAGTCGTTGAGAGGCTTATCTCTGTTCGCGACCCATACGACTGTTGTATTAGAAACGGCGAACCATATGCCCAGATACCTCTTACCGGAATCCCCCGGAGAGAAGAACCCCAGCACGAAGATCCCGCCGGCGGAGACGAGAGTCTTGCCATCGCTGATGTTCTGCAACTGCTGAATTGTGTCTATACCGCTTGAGGACGATACGAGGACGAAGAGAGAGACTACTAAGCAGTAAGGGAGGATCGTCGAGGATTTCCGCATGCTGGAAATAGTACCTCGGACTCAGATGTTCAGATCTCCGATCTTTAGAGGGCACAGTAATCTTCTAATCAGAACAGTCATGCATATGCATCCAACGAACAATAGGGTCATATCTGACTGCGACGGCCGTTGATTATATACCCCATATTCTTGCTTCCGACCATAAAATATCTCCGGTAGAGGAACAATGCGAGGTTGCACACTAGTTTCCTCCCCAGCTCGTCTTTTTGCCTGGTCTTTCTTGCTTGCGTTCCGTCATCTTTTTGTTTGTTCCTATCGATATTTACACAGGAGTCTATTATAATCGATACCCTTCAACTGAAACCCTAGCGATCCCCTGTGGCCGGACTATATTACATGAAATGATCTAGCCATTTTTAGCCAATGAGCAGGATAAAACGATCTAACACCCAGCGAAGGGCAAAAACTGTAGAATTCTAAACCACATGAGAGTGAATTATGCCCGTGCTTACTGCCATCTTTGAGAACTTGGTCGCCGCTCCTTCCACTGTTCACACGTTTGTTCCGAAACCACCCAACAGTCTGTGAAGAGAGAGAAAGCTTGTGAGAAGATGAACATGGAACTGTCGAAAACCCTTTACTCAGTGTTCAAAAGTCTGTAGTCGTTGGACGACCGGGTTTGACCGGGTCTTCTTCCATCCCTTGGGACTCCCTGAGGATTGAAATCTGTGCTCGTTGGGCAGCTTGGTCATACTACTTGAGCTCGCGTCCACGAGGAAGTGATACATGACTAGCGATCCCATTTGACATCCTTTGGGCCCCGCAGCCTAGTTACTCTCGTCATCGGGGGCCGTTTCCGGGGAGGAGACTAGCTTCCGGGCAATTGGCTTGGTTTGACGAGCATCGGGTGGAACGTTTGACTTGACCACATATAATGGGTTTTACCTATTTTTCCATTTTCAGCTAAATCTGACCGTGGACTCTAAACGGAGCAAAATACGTACGTTTGGTTATATTTCTCCAGCTGAAAAGCGCTTCATCGCACAATAACGACGTCTGGTTTTTTTTTTTCTTCTCCTTCTCCTCGCGAGGAGATCAGCGGGGGCTACTCTCTGAAGGATTCATGCTGGTCCGGGCGGGGTAACGACTGCCCTGGTTTGTTTCTTCTCAGTAGCGAGAGGAAGCCCTTCGGCGGCGACGGGGGGGCCTCGACAGCGGGAACTGCTCCACTCTGAAGGAGACGGAATCTTCGCCCTCGTCGTCGTCGGCTCCAACGTCGTCATCGGTACTTCTTGCACTCCCATCTGCTTCGTCATCCTCCTCACCTCCATGGAATGCCGAGGTCGTCGCGACCATTTCGTGGTCGTTCGCTGCCAAATGTACGACCATTTCGTGGTCGTTCGCTTGGTCAACAGTCAACGGCACCACTCAGTCAACAGTCAATGATCGACCATCTCTGACCATGGTCCCTTTGGTGACTTCCTTTCATAATTGGTTCTCTCGTTTCTTACACTTGGTATTCCCTGCTCTTTTAGTATATTTTTCTTGTCATTATCGTCATGAGTGATCTTATAGGATAGCAATTATTTTCATACATTGCATGATTCATCCCGGTGATAAAACAATCTACACTGTTAATTATGAATACCCTACGTCTAGCGGTTTGCCTAAACTACCTAGTCCTAACCCCACTTCTCTAATAGTAGATTATGTTGAGCTAGATTCGGATTTCTCCTTCTTCTATTTCTGATAGTGTTTGTGATTTCTGCATCATTTATTTGACTTATATTACGTTCTCATTTTCATCTTCATCGTAATCTCTTAGTAAGCTGTCATCAATAAGGTGAAGAAGGCAAGTAGGTGTCTATTCATTTAGAGGAAACTGAGAAAGCTGTGGTCAAATAGATCTCTTTAACTCTTCGCAGGCCTCATAGAATTGAGGAGAAGACAGAGAACAAGGGCGAGAGATGGTGAGAGTGAGCTAGTATTGAGGAAATAAAGAACAGATTTAACACTCGGCTAGGAAGCAAAACCAGATTTATTTTGAGAGGCAATAATGGTGAGAGAAGGAATCAAGAGGGGGCAACATTTTAGGCCCCCTTTCCTCAAAAAACTCAATCAGAGACTACTCCATTGCCTCTCAGTATTTTTCTTAAGGGATGGGCTTCTGTATTGTAGATCCACTCATCCAAGGGGATCGCCGTGGCAGAGAGAACAAGAGATACAGGTATTTTAGTGTCTTCGCAAGGATGAAGCTCTACATCTTCTCATCCTTTTTCCTCATTCTCTCCTGAATAGGGGCGAAGTAACAACAGTGAGCCCAGCAAGACAACCCCACCCGCAGTTTTTTAGTAAACGAAGACATTCAGCCATGGAAGAGATTAAAGGGGGTCATCAATGCTCAAATTTCTCAATCCCACCTAGCTAGAGTCCACACGGGAGTTCTTCTCAAATTCCTCAAAGATGTGATGGAGCCCTGAAGATGGCAGTGAGAAAGAGATGGTTGAATGGACGAGGGAATGAAAGTCTTCTAGGTTGAGGTGAGCGTCTCAACAAAAGTCTCCCCTATAAATTAAACCTTGTCTTCTAGGTTTAATTTAAGGAATTTTTGGCATATGGTTTGGGTGGATGCCCACATGATCCCCCTATGAATTAAGTTGGGTAGCTCCTATCATTTGATAAGCACTTTAGGCTCAGGCGACCCATATTGGACAATTAGGATTTTAGATGGTTGCACAGTCCAACTACAATCTTTGTTCAGCCTTAGTAGGCCAATGGAGCCTAGGGAGGTTGAACCATCTACCTTTCTAAGTTGTGATACATGGAGCACCTAGTGGATACTTGAAATGGGTGGAAGATTCAATTGATAAGTGATAATACTTTATTTTCATATAATACATAAAGTACAACTATCTAACATTTATACTAACATCTACGAATGATGAATATATTTATGATTTTTAATATATATACTAACATGATAATCTAATGTTTATATCCTTGAGAAATATTGGAATTGATAAAAAAATTGATAGTGAAGTTAAAATTTTGAAAGTTTCTTTTTCTTGGGTTTTTTAAAAACTTATGAAATGATTTATTTAGTAATTCAGAAATCATAAAAGTAATGGTAAAAGTATAGGTATTCATGGCCACATTAGTAAAAAGATATATCAAGAGATTTATGAGTTATGTCAATATAAGTAAATGAAGAAAGATATGGGTCAACATTTTAACCCATGTCATACATGTATACATCAATCAGCATACTAAATTTTGGATGGTGAAAGGAACATACGAAATTTCCTTTTTTTGGTGGATAGTGTTGAGATTTTAGGGGATCATGATCTGAAGAAAGCTTCAAGAAAAATGGAGCAAGGTTTTGAGATGGACATTGTAGGTGAATTGAGGAACTACGAAGCACTTTCTGGCCAATCTCTCTCCAAATGACAATCAAACATGAAAAGTGATCATAGGAGTTTCTAAATTTTATTTCTATTTTCATTGCATTTTATTATTATTTTCACTTAAACTATCATTTGAGTGATAGTCAAGCAATAAGGTTAAGTCCTAGGTGATAGAAAAGGTTATTTCTATTTGTGATGATACTTTCTTCCTAGGTGATAGACAAGGATAAGTTTGTACATTGATTTAATTTTTATAATTGTTCTTCTGTGATATGGATTATATTTGATTAAAGTTGACTTGAATTGATTTCGTTCGATGTATTACTTATTTTAAAAAACATATGAACTGAACTCATTTTCCTATTTTACCAATAATTGAGTGACTCTACCAATGGATATGCATTTTAATTTTAATTTCAATAGTTCTTGAGATTTTATGTTTCCTTGTCAAATTTAACTTTTATACAATCATATGAATCCATTTATTTTAAAAGATTTATTAATTTTTGTATGAATTCGACTCAGTTGTATTTCCTAGTTCACTTCTAGTGAGTTCTCCTTGTCACTGATTATATTTCTCTGTTTCCCTATTTTTCTTGATTTATGATTTAGTTTTCATCCTTTTATTTTTATTTTATTTTAATTTTTTTCTACCTTTTTTGCTGAAATTGTTTAAAGATCTAGAGTCATCAATCAATTCTAAATGTGGGAAGATATAAAAGTAGGAAAATTCTAGGCTTAAAACTTTGTGACACCATCATCAAACATTGAAGGAGATAAAAATGCAGAGAAAAATATTTTTTATTTCATTTTTTTATTACATGGAACGAAAAAGAAATTTATATTGAGATCAACCATCCTCTGTGTGGATGACTTGAATTGAAGAAAAAATAATTTTAACAATTTTTTAAAATTTGGTTTATAAATATTTAAGATTTGATCATTTTCATAGTAATAACCAAAGTGATATGAGTAACTCACTAGGCCAATATGTTCAAGGACCTTTAATGAGCTGATGTAATATAGGGCCAACTTTTCGTAGAGGTTTTGATGCAGGATAGAGGATGAAAGTCAAAATTAAGATTATTCAAAAGGAATTCAAGTAAGAATCTAGGAGAATTCACTCTTAGGATGAGACTCAATGGGGAGATTTATCCCAATATTAAGTTAATCCTAAAACTTGAATAGAATAGGATCCGATCAACCACTGAAATAAAACTTGAAGAGAATAGGATTCTTGAAGAGAATGTCTTGATTTCATAATTCTTGAAGTGACAACTTCAAGTGTAAAAGAGGGTGTCAATGTGTACCTTGAGTGTAAAATTGATACCTTCACACTTTTAAGTATTGAAAAGGAGAGGAAGATTTTCATGGAAGAAGAAGAATGGTTAGAAAAGAAGAAAGGTGGAAAAATATTGAGTGGAAAACCTTCTCGACCTTCCCTTTAGGGACAACTTTGACCTTCACAATCTTTCCTTTAGGGAGCAAAGAAAAAGTGAAAAAATTCACTTCAAATTCAAGTCTGATTCCACTATCCATCACAAGAGTTTGTGCCCTCTATTTATGAGTATTTTTGGGGTAGTTACAAGGGATAGAAAAATATTAAAAATAGAAGTCAAGGCTTAGGCGCATCTT